TCTCATTAGGAATCTGGGAGTGGGAGTGAACGGTGTGGCCGGCCACAGCCTCCCCCGGACCCAGTCCCCCCTCATGTTCAGCTGGGCTTTGCATCGCTGCTCTCATTGTCTGGAACCATGCTTTGGCTTTTGTAACATCACACTTTTCCCATGTTCATGCTCAGCGGATGATCCCGTTTGAGGCCAGGTGGACGGGCTAACCAGTCATTCCACACAGGGTCCCCCAGGCGACGTGTTCAGTGACCTCACTGACTTTTATTTGAAGCACGCGGCGGGGTGGGTGTTCAGTAAAGACGCCGAGAGCTGGGCTGCCTGTGACTCACCGTGGAGGCTGGTGGGTGGCGGGAGCGCGACAGGTGTGCGCACATCCTGAGCCGCGTGTTGTCCCAAGCCGGGGTGGTGCAGTGTCACTGGGCAGTGAGGCTGTGAGAACAGCACTGTGGTGCAGCACCCCTGCCCTGCTGCTGCCGGGAGAGGCCGCCTCACCAGGTCCCATGACGCCTTCTTGTCCACGAGCCCCGAGCTTGTGGCCCTGACCCTGGAGAGAGTGGCACGGAGGGTGGGGGGGCAGGCCTGAGATTGGGGAGCTGTGTCACAGATGTGTCTCTGGGGCTGCATGTGGCATCCCCAGAACCCAGGGTGGGGGCTGAGGGTTCCAGGGTGGGCTCAGGAGGGAAAGCTCTGTGGGGATCTCAGCAACAGATCCTGAGAGGCTCTGTCAGCTGGGCCCCAGGGGCCGGGTGGATGGCCCCCCACCAGAAATGATATAGGAACATGGCCAAGTGTCGGGGGGCCCAGGGGACGCTCCAGATTGCATTCAGTTCCGAGGTCCTGGAATCACAGGAGATATATTTTAGATGGCAGATTCAGCTATATTCATGTCACCAGACCGGAGACCTGGGCAGGTTGCCCCCGAATCCCCATCCTACCCTTCCCTTGGCTTCATAGCAGGCTTGGACACTTTTGTTTAAGGAATGGTTTTTTTTTTTTAAGATCTGCATTAGTTTCCAAATATTAGCTAAATCAAGACAGATGCAAACCCTAGATATTGGAGCAACCAAGCCTTCCTCTAGGCCAAAATGACCTGATTTTCTTATTTTTTCTAGATATGGAAAAGATCATATTTTCCCTTACATTCCTTTGGGATACACAGTTTTCCCAGTGAATTTCTGCTTTTGTCTGACACCCATCACCCATGCCCTGAAAACCTTGTGCTTCCTCATCTCTGTTTTCCCAGAAGTTGCTGCTGAAGACAGAGCAGGGGTCCTCTGCTAACTTCACCTCATAGAGGTGAACCCCTGGGAGTTAAAAACACTCCCTCTCCCTCTAAGCTTCTTATCTGGGACCAGCTGTGCAGGAGATGGAGCGATGGGGGTGGCGTCGTTGGGAAGAGGGTTTAATTACCAGCAGGCTCGCAGCTGAAGTGCGCGCAGAACATCTGTGGCGGAGCCGGTCTGAGCTGTGACATACGTCCGAGTGACTTCAGATCACACCACGTGTGCTCTCCGACCGCGGCGGAAGCACTTGAGAAATCAGGAATAGGATGGGGTCTGGAAATGCTCAAATACCTGCATGTTAGACAGCACACTTCTAAACAACCCCTGTGTCAAGAAGAGACCCCCAGAGAAATGAGTGCCTGGGGATGAGGACACAACATATCCCGATATTTGGGGAGCAGCTAAAGCAGCGCTTAAAGGAAACTTCAAGTACTGAAGACTGACCAGTAATGAATAGTCTCAAGTTAGCGTCTTGAGATTCCCCCTTAAAGAACCAGAAGAACATCAAATTAAAGTAAGCCGAATAAGGGAAATAGTAAGAATCAAAACAGAAATTAATGGAGCATAAGCCAGAAACAACAATAGAGAAAATCAGTGAAAGCAAATGGTGGTTCTTTGTGAAAATCAACTTAACCTCTGGCCAGACGTAGGAAAAAGTGGATATACCGTGGTCAACTCTATGCCAACACATTAAATCACTTAGATAAAATGTACACAGGTTTTGAAAGACAATACCAAAGCTAACTCAAGTAGAGGCTATTTACCCTAATTCTCCTATATGTATTTAAAAATTAAATTTTTATTGTAAACCTCTGCCCAGGAAAAGCCCCAAGCCCAAACGGCTTTACTAGTGCATTTTTATCAAATATTTAAGGAAGAAATAGTGCTAAGTGTGCTTTCTCTTCCAGAAGATCGAAAAGGAGGGAATAGAAGGATCATTCCGATTCCTTCTATGATCATCAGAATGATCCTAAATCATTCTGAGTCCAGTATTGCGCTGATCGTTAAACTGTTACCAAGTCCAAACTCGTTCTGCTCACCGCATGACAGACCAATAAATCGGGAGACAAGTTGTTGGGGCAAGGAGCGGCGACTTTATTTGGAAAGCCGGCAGACTGAGAGGATGGCAGACTAATGCCTTGGAGAACCATCCTCCCCATGTCAGAATACAGGCTCCTTTTATACAGAAACGGAGGAGCGGGTGTGGTTGGTTGTTGCAGACTTCTTGGTGTAGGAGTTCTTTGTTCTTGCAGCCGTCCATGTGGGTCAGGTCATGGTGCTCCTGCAAAACCTCCAACAAAACAAATGTTATTCTCTATTCTGAAACTTGTTATCTTTATGTGAGTGCAGAGCTAGCAAGACTAAGCCTAGAAAACAGGACACACGGTTAAAGCCCAAGGAACAGATCTCATATGGAGTCAGATTTGTTCTTGTCTATTACAAAACCAGGCAAAGGCATTAGAAGAGAGGCTGGAGGCAAAATTGGAGGCAAAAATTCCTCATGAACATACATGGACAAAATTTCAGCAAATTGAATGCAGTGTATTGTAAAAGTAATTGAGGTTTATTCCAGAAATTCAGAGTACCTTTTGTGTTCTAAAAGTAATTGACATAACTCATCATATTAACAGAGTAAAAGCAAAAAACAGTGTCCTCTCAGTATATGCGGTACAAGTGTTTCATAACATTCAGCACCCATTCTGGATAAAACCTTTCAGGACACTAGTAGCAGGGACGCTTCCAATGAAGGACATCTGTGACAGAGCCAGAGCTGGCACTGTGGTCGTCAAGGCGAGACCCTGGGCATCCCCACAGGCAAGAGTGCAGCAAGGACACGTGCTCTCACCTCTCCTGCTAAACTCTTTCCAGAGGTTCTAGCAAGTTCACTGAGAAATAAAAGGCGTTGAAAGTGGAAAGAAGTAAAACGATCTGTACTCTCAGCCAGCGTGTCTGTCTGTGTAAGACACCCTACAGCATCGAAAAGGGGCTTCAGGAAGAACTGAGCTCAGTGAGGTGACAGGATACAGGGTATGAAAATCAGCTGTATTTCTCTATTCTGTCAACCAATGATTAGAAATGGAAAAAATGCTATTTTCAATAGCAAAACATTGCTGAAAGGAATTGTTGAGTGGAGAGATACACCGCCGCTCGTGGTTCTGAAGACTCAGTCTGGTTAAGATGTTAGATCTCCACAAGTTGGTCCATGGATTCAGTGGACTCTCAAGCAGAATTCCAACTGGGTGTTTTGGTAGAAATTTGACGACTTATTACTTGGTTTCATGGCTTATTATAAGCTACAGTAATTAAGACAATGTGGTATTGGTGTTAAGACAGACAAGCAGATCAGTGGATTGGAACAGAGAGTTCAGAAATAGACTTACACAGGGGTGGTCAGTTAGTTTTCAACAACAGTGCTAAGGCACAACTTAGTGGGAAAAGGGCTAGTTTTTTTGAAAACATGATGCTGGAATAATTATACATTCAGATGCAAGAAAAAAGACCTTTGATTCATATCTCCCATCATGTATAAAAATTAAAGTAGATCAGAAGTCTAAAATTCAACTCTATGAAATGTCAAGGACAATACGGGAGATATTTTTTGTGACCTTGCATTAGGCAAAGTTTTCTTAGTTATAACATTAAAAGCGTTTCCATAAACAAGTTCCTAACTTGGAATTAAGTGAAACATTTTCAAAATTTTCTGCTCTCCAAAAGACATTGTTAAGAGAATGGAAAGACAAGTCACAGACTGCAGGAAAACATTTGCAAATCTCACGTATCTGGAAAGTGTAAGAGACTCCTAGAATGTAATACTGAGGGAAAAAAAATCTGATTACAAGTGACCAAAAGTCCACTTCGCCAAAGAAAATATGTGGATGGCAGATAAGTACATGAACAGAAGTCCAGCATCATTGCTCATTAGCATATGCAAATTCAGTCCACGGTGAGCTACCACCTGGTATGACCCCGCATGCTGGGCATTGGCAAAGTTGGAGAACATCTCATACTGCTTGTGAGAATGTAAGATAGCACATTTACTTTGGAAAGCATTTTGGCAATTAAGCCAAAAAGCTAATTCAATATACGTCCACTAGCCATTCCACTATTAAGTGTCTACCCAGGAGTGATGAAAGCATGTGTCCATACAAAGCTCTGAACAGGAACATTGCAGAAATTTGTCTTTAATAGCTAAAATAATAAAATACTGGAAACGTCCATCCATCAATGAATGAATACGCAGTGACACTGGTATATGATCACACAGTGACATTGGGACTGGCAAAAGAATTATGCTGAGTAAAAGTAGTCAGACCAGTGGGAATGCAGTTTGGTGCAGTCACTGTGGAAAACAGTATGGAGATTCCTCAGAAGACTAGGAATAGACCTACCATATGACCCAGGAATCCCGCTCCTGGGCATGTATCCAGAAGGAACCCAACTTCAAAAAGACACTTGCACTCCAATGGTCATAGCAGCACTATTTACAATAGCCAAGACATGGAAACAGCCTAAATGTCCATCAACAGATGACTGGATAAAGAAGCTGTGGTGTATTTATACAATGGAATACTATTCAGCCATAAAAATGACATTACGCCATTTGCAGCAACATGGTTGTCCCTGGAGAACGTCATTCTAAGTGAAGTAAGCCAGAAAGAGAAAGAAAAATACCATATGAGATCGCTCATACGTGGAATCTAAAAAAAAGAATATAAATACGAATAACCTTGAATAGGTGATTTTATTCTCTCTGGACCTCTGTCTTCGCACCTCCAAATAAGAAGTTCAGATTAACTGATGCATGCTCAAAGATCTCTTCCAGTTTTAAAATTCTCTGAGTTTATGATTCTGTAGACTGTTTCTTAATGGCTCACTTTCAGAAATAAGAAGATGGGCTTGTGGACAAGTCTTTTGGCCTGAGTGACTGGAAGGTGTTTAAAGGTTTCCTTGCTCCTTATCCTTGCCAGCACTTGGCAGGGTGTTGCCAGACTGTTTTATTTTAGGCAGTGTGGGAGCACGTGTTTATTTACACCTATTTTTGGTTTTAATTTGCATCTCTGATTACTGTGAGACTGGGTACCTCTTCATGTGCTGACTGGCCGTTCGGACCTCTTCTTTTGTGAAGTGCTTTTCTCCTTTCACCCATCTTTCTGTGTATGTCGACATTTGTAAGGGAGAGCTGTCAGGCTGGCCCCAGATGTCTCCACAGCAATTTTCATGCTAGATAAAAGGGTAGCAAAGTGCACAAAAGCTTTAGGAAAGAAAGAAATTTCTCAATAGTCCACTTTCAAATGTGAGGACCCGGGGAAGATGATGCTTACGGGCCGTCGGTGGAAGAGCTCCTTGAAGTGGAGCGAGCGCCTGGAGTGCCACAGGGTGAGGGTGGCGGGTCAGAGAGAGGCTGGCGGGGACCCTCATGCACAGTGCTCAGGGGGCATGGAGAGCAGGACTCCCGTGTTGCAGACTTTCCAGGGGCAGCAGCGGGACTCACAGCAGCTGGGGGCAGAGGGTGAGCACCCCGAGGGGCAGAGGGCTGCCAGCAGTACGCTTCCTGCTCCTCAGTGCGGAGGAATTTGGGAACATTGCTCAGAGACTAACAGCAGAAGAGCCAGAAATAGCTAGACAGGGACTCGCTATGGGCGGTGGGGTGTAAATGTGGTCCCTCCTGAGTCATCCGCGGTGAGTCATCACCCGTTCTGCTCTGGGGACAGAGGCTGCGAGCAGGCCTCCCCGCCCCCCCCACAAAGGACAGATGGTCAGGAGACATAAAGAAGAGAAGAGCTCAGCCGATGATGTTCGCAGTTTTAAAGCCTCAAACAGTGAAGCTGATGGGGTGACATTTCCGTCTCTCAGTTTGTCAGAGGTCAGAGCATCCGAGAGGGAATTGTGCAGGCAGTGGCCGGAGAGAGAGCCCTGTGAATCTGAGGGGGTGGAGTTTGCAGAGCGCTGTGTGGGGAAGAGTTTGGTTAATTTCTCTGAGATTGAAGGTGTTCAGTGTTGCCCATCGTCTGCCGAGGTGCCTCTGAGTGTGAGTTCGAGCGGCTTCAAACAGAGATTCACTCAGAGTTCTCAGGTGTATTGATGGGAGAGAAGGCCACACCTGCTGCGGACCGAGACCACGTTTTCCTTCCTCATGCAACAGAACCTCCGTGGTGGGCCTCGGGGGCTGCTGACAGTAACCGTGGGCTCAGAAAGAGTATGAGAGAGCCTTATTTTTCACCGTTTGCTTAAGTTTTTACTCGTTATACCTAAGTATAGTTTTAAAAAAGTTTTTACTGAAGTGTAGTTGATTTACAATGTCAGTTTCGGGTGTACAGCAAAGGGATTCAGTTATACATACACACACATAGATACTTTTTCTTTTCCATTACGTGTTATGACAGGAAATTGAATATAGCTCCCTGTGCTCTAGAGTAGGTCCTTGTTTATCTATTTTGCCAATAGTTGTGTGTGTCTGTTAATCCCCAATCCCTAATTTATCCCTCTGTACTTTTGAAGAGTTATGAAAACCGCCTAAGACCAAGAAGAGTTTTAATAATTACTGTTAATAAAAGAGTTTGCTATGGAGCCAAACTCGGGTCCACTTGCCCCCGTGCAGTGAAGCCAACCTACCGATCCCAGGTGGTGGTGGAGGAAAGCACAGTGTTTACTGCAGGCGCCCAGCGAGGAGAATGGGCAGCTAGTGCTCAAAAGGCCCGAACTCCCGAAGGCTTTCAGGGGGAGGTTTTTAAAGACAGGGTGGGGGTGGGGTGGGGCGGCTATGGTGCATGATCAGCTCGTGGACATCCTTCTGACTGGCGGGTGGTGAGGTCCTCAGGAGTCAGCATCATCCCCCTTCTGGGTCCAGCTGGTCTGGGGTCTGCATGCCGGGGGGCAGCGTGCAGTCAGCTTCCTCCACCTGGCAGGGGCTTCAGTAGCTGCAAAACAGCCCGAAGGAGGTCATGGCTCAGAATATTCTCTCTAGCCCTGGAGGAGGAACTGAAGTCCTTGACTTTGTCTGATGGTTAAACTCTTGGTATCTTGTCTTGCTTGATGGTTTTCCTTTCTGCATTTTCTCACTTCTCTGATTAAGTGTATTCTTTGATGCTCAGGAAATCCTCGGAGACTAAAGGTTTTCTACAGACAAGAGGTGGGCAGAGGACATGAGGGAGGGTCTGTCCTGGGAAGGCCTCACAGGGTCCTGTTTGGTTACAGACCTACACACATTGCCAGTCAAGCTCATCGCATGCTGATATTACGTATTACTTAGTAACTGAAACCTGAAACATGACGTGGCATGTATTTCTGTGATAGCAATTGCTGACGGATGCAAACCGAGTTTCCAGTGTACAGGGTGCTCTGTGGACCCCACGAGTGAGAGAGACCTCGTGGTGCTGAGTTCATCGGGTAACGTGACGCTTTTCCCTTGCTTTTTGGTAGATGGCCAGCGTCCTCACCCTCGGGGGAAGCAGGTGGGCTGGCAGTACAGGCGTCCCCAGGCCGGGAGAAGGAGACAGTCCCAGGTACTCTCGTCCACCCCTGCTGGTGATCTCCCCGCCCGGCCCCATCCTGTTCCGACAGTGACTCACCTGTGCCCCTGCCTCTCCCGGCCTGCCTTGCCACCTGTGCCCTGCCTGCGCCCAACCTCAGTGCCTGTCAGTTGCCCCACCTCAGCCTGGAGCTCCACCCTCCCTGCTCCCACCCGACTCGGGCCAGTCCTCACTTCTGGTTGTCCCTCTGCTTGAACACTTCTTTGAAGGTTCCTAACCCTGAATTGCACCCCGACTCCCATTAACTTCGCTCAGCCGCCGGGTGCGTGGAGAAGGCCCCCGACAGGGCCGAGCCGCCACCTGCTGCTGTCCTCTGCCGCTCAGATGCAGACCCGCTTCTTGTCTGCTCGTTTCCTCTAACAGGTTGATTTTTAGTGGGAGGAGAAGGAACGGCCTTCTTGCAGCAGAACAGTCTGGAGTGTGGCGACTGTCACTCTTCGTCCACGCAGAAAATTAACTCTTTTTCTGGCCGTGGGCGCGTCTCTTCACGTTAGAAACGTAGCAGAGGCGATGAGCAGCTTCAGGATCAGAACTGACTTTAGGAATGACGTTTAATAAGGCCAGAAGGGTCGCTATCCCAGAGTCGACAGAGTCCCTTAGCAGACAGACCAAACTGTGCTCTGCGCCAGGTCTGGTTCTGGGCTGGGTCAGATCCACCAGCAACACAGGGACAGGCTCTGTCCCCAGAGACACATCAGAGGTAGACGGCGCGCTGAGTCCGCAGGTGATGGGCTCAGAGAGGGGAGGGCAGAGCAGGAGCGAGGGGGTTCGTGTGTGCATGTGTGTGCGTGTGCCTGTTCGTGCATCTGCGTGTGTATGTGAATGTGTACATGGTGGAGCGGGCTGGGAGGGCTACGGACGGGAGTCCAGGCTGAGGGGCGGGGAGGACAGCATGTCCCCAGCGCTCGAGTTGGGGTCGGAGTGGCTGGCCTTGGACACGTAAAGGTGAGACACAGGGACATGCGGGCAGCTGTAGAGGACACAGCTGGACAGGTGGGACTGGGGCCCGGGAGAGAGGGCCCACTGGACGTGTGGACTTGTGCCAGTTTCACGCAGGGAGCACGGGTGCCACCAAGGGGGCGACAGTGAGGGGAGAGAAGCAGGGACGGGCCGGCAGGAATGCATGTCGTGGTGGGGTCTGAGCTGGAGGACAGCCTTGTGGGCAGGCTGACTCTATCTCACTGTCATGGGAGGGGGAGAGCTGGGCTTCCTGTGGGTCATCGGTGGTGGGTGTATGTGGGAGAGGGAGCAGGGGCCAGGCAGGGGCAGTGAAGCCGGGGCTTTGACAAGTGAGCCTCAGAGGGAGGAGGGTCTGAGGGGAAGGGCTGGGGGTCGCGGGGGGCGGGTTACTGATGAGCGGAAACAGCCCTGGTTTCTGTGTTGGGAGGCAGGCGACTGGTTGGCCTTGGGGTGGACGAGCTGAGACGGTGGGTTGTCCCAGGAGGCTGTGGGTGGGGACCAGGAGTTTGAAGACAGAAGTCGATGTGAAATGTATGTTGTCCTCATAAACTGTGTTCAGCCGTTTTTGACACATGGTCAAAGATAATTTCATATGGTTTAACTTAGAGTTGAACTTCTCATAGCTTGTAAGATTTGTGCAGGAATATTTGGGAGACCGGGAGCCTGGCTGAGCTGGGAAGAGCAGCGTGAGGGCTGGTGTCGTGTGGCCTGCTCGCTGTCTGTGGGGGAGTGGAAGCGGCTTGTGTGGCCCTCGTGCTGTGCAGCTACCTGGGAGAGGTGTGCAGTCGAAGGGCTGTGGCTTTTCCGAGCACGGCCGAGGCAGCAAGTGAGGACAGAGGGAGCAGAGCACAGTGGAGAGGGCGGTGATGGTGACTCTGAAGAGGAGCGGGGACTGGCAGGCTTCCTGGAGGAGGGACCGTGGCCGGGGACACGGCAGACGGCAGGGCTGATGACACTCTCTTCAAGGTGGGAGCAGCTGTGAGCGAATCTCTATCAAAGCAGAATACAACTTAGAAAATATTTAAAAATACAACTGCCTTTTCAAGTTAAAGAACAATACTTGGTTTCCATGGTAACTGCCACCCGTTTAACTAGGGCAAGTGTTATGTGGTGACACAGGGTAATTACAGACAACAGGGAAATTGCAGGGTAAGTCTTAAATAAATACAGAGTGGCTGCGTGGTTAGGTTCTGCTCCTGGGAGCAGGAGGTGAGGGTTTCCGGCCGTCTGCTGCAGAGCCATGCCCTCCTCCCCTCAGGCAAGGTGTCCCCAAGCCCTGGGGCCTGCGCCTCTGCGGGGGCCTCTCCCGGCCGGGCTGGGAGCCAGCGGAGGCCGCGCGTGGGCCCCAGGCCCTGGCTGTAGAGACTGATTTATCAGCCAGAGCTTAAGGAGGAGGTTTCTGTCCGTCAGCTGGCTATGGAGGAGACCCTACATGGGGGAGAGAAAGACCGTCAGGTCCGTCCACAAACCAGCCTCCTGCAGATCGGACAGGGTGGTTACCTGAGAACACTCATCTGCTGTCACCTGTACCGGAAGGTCCCCAAAGACGGAAGCTTTAAGAAAGCAGCCATGGTGGACATTCACGACGTCCGAGGAGACGGGAGTGACTGCGGTCAGAGGACCAGGCCTTTGGTTAATGTTAAGAGAGAGACTCACATAATGCTTATGGAGTTGCAGTACTGCAGAAGACACACAAGGCAGGCTTCTGTGGATACGTGTGAGAATTCGGACACTCAGCTCAGAGCCAGGATCCCCGGCAAGCAAGCCAGGGTTCTCAAAAGCAGAAGTGGGGGTGGAGCCAAGAGCTGCACTCGAGGAGAACCGAACAGCAGGAGGGAGAGGTGCCGAGTGCAACCACAGGGTTAGCACCGCGAGGGAGGAGCAGGCCCAACAGAGGACACTGCGTCTTCAAAAGCAGCAACCAAGGGCTGTGGGGAAAAGTGACCAGAACGAAGCAATCAGGGTGGCTTAAACTGCAGAACAGCCAGAAATGAAGACGGAATCTGATTGAACAAATGAACCAAGGATTATTCTAGAATGCAGGCCTACGGGGCCCTGAGC